GTCAGTGGGGGGGGGAACAGTGCCCCATCGTTGGTGTCAGTGGGGGGAGGAACAGTGCCCCATCGTTGGTGTCAGTGGGGGGAGGAACAGTGCCCCCATCGTTGGTGTCAGTGGGGGGAGGAACAGTGCCCCATCGTTGGTGTCAGTGGGGGGAGGAACAGTGCCCCATCGTTGGTGTCAGTGGGGGGGGAACAGTGCCCCATCGTTGGTGTCAGTGGGGGGAGGAACAGTGCCCCATCGTTGGTGTCAGTGGGGGGAGGAACAGTGCCCCATCGTTGGTGTCAGTGGGGGGAGGAACAGTGCCCCATCGTTGGTGTCAGTGGGGGGAGGGAACAGTGCCCCATCGTGGGTGTCAGTGGGGGGAGGAACAGTGCCCCATCGTTGGTGTCAGTGGGGGGAGGAACAGTGCCCATCGTTGGTGTCAGTGGGGGGAGGAGGAACAGTGCCCCATCGTTGGTGTCAGTGGGGGGAGGAACAGTGCCCCATCGTTGGTGTCAGTGGGGGGAGGGAACAGTGCCCCATCGTTGGTGTCAGTGGGGGGAGGAACAGTGCCCCATCGTGGAGTGTCAGTGGGGGGAGGAACAGTGCCCCATCGTTGGTGTCAGTGGGGGGAGGAACAGTGCCCCATCGTTGGTGTCAGTGGGGGGAGGAACAGTGCCCCATCGTTGGTGTCAGTGGGGGGAGGAACAGTGCCCCATCGTTGGTGTCAGTGGGGGGAGGAACAGTGCCCCCATCGTTGGTGTCAGTGGGGGGAGGAACAGTGCCCCATCGTTGGTGTCAGTGGGGGGAGGAACAGTGCCCCCATCGTTGGTGTCAGTGGGGGGGAGGAACAGTGCCCATCGTTGGTGTCAGTGGGGGGAGGAGGAACAGTGCCCCATCGTGGTGTCAGTGGGGGGAGGAACAGTGCCCCATCGTTTGGTGTCAGTGTGGGGGAGGGAACAGTGCCCCATCGTTGGTGTCAGTGGGGGGAGGAACAGTGCCCCATCGTTGGTGTCAGTGGGGGGAGGAACAGTGCCCCATCGTTGGTGTCAGTGGGGGGAGGAACAGTGCCCCATCGTTGGTGTCAGTGGGGGGAGGAACAGTGCCCCATCGTTGGTGTCAGTGGGGGGAGGAACAGTGCCCCAATCGTTGGTGTCAGTGGGGGGAGGAACAGTGCCCCATCGTTGGTGTCAGTGGGGGGGAGGAACAGTGCCCCATCGTTGGTGTCAGTGGGGGGAGGAACAGTGCCCCATCGTTGGTGTCAGTGGGGGGGAGGAACAGTGCCCCATCGTTGGTGTCAGTGGGGGGAGGAACAGTGCCCCATCGTTGGTGTCAGTGGGGGGAGGAAAACAGTGCCCCATCGTTGGTGTCAGTGGGGGGAGGAACAGTGCCCCATCGTTGGTGTCAGTGGGGGGGAGAACAGTGCCCCCATCGTTGGTGTCAGTGGGGGGAGGAACAGTGCCCCATCGTTGGTGTCAGTGGGGGGAGGAACAGTGCCCCATCGTTGGTGTCAGTGGGGGGAGGAACAGTGCCCCATCGTTGGTGTCAGTGGGGGGAGGAACAGTGCCCCATCGTTGGTGTCAGTGGGGGGGAGGAACAGTGCCCCATCGTTGGTGTCAGTGGGGGGAGGAACAGTGCCCCATCGTTGGTGTCAGTGGGGGGGAGGAACAGTGCCCCATCGTTGGTGTCAGTGGGGGGGAGGAACAGTGCCCATCGTTGGTGTCAGTGGGGGGAGGAACAGTGCCCCATCGTTGGTGTCAGTGGGGGGAGGAACAGTGCCCCATCGTTGGTGTCAGTGGGGGGAGGAACAGTGCCCCATCGTTGGTGTCAGTGGGGGGAGGAACAGTGCCCCATCGTTGGTGTCAGTGGGGGGAGCCCCCGAACAGTGCCCCATCGTTGGTGTCAGTGGGGGGAGGGAACAGTGCCCCATCGTTGGTGTCAGTGGGGGGAGGAACAGTGCCCCATCGTTGGTGTCAGTGGGGGGGAGGAACAGTGCCCCATCGTTGGTGTCAGTGGGGGGAGGAACAGTGCCCCATCGTTGGTGTCAGTGGGGGGAGGAACAGTGCCCCATCGTTGGTGTCAGTGGGGGGGGGGAGGAACAGTGCCCCATCGTTGGTGTCAGTGGGGGGAGGAACAGTGCCCCATCGTTGGTGTCAGTGGGGGGGAGGAACAGTGCCCCATCGTTGGTGTCAGTGGGGGAGGAACAGTGCCCCATCGTTGGTGTCAGTGGGGGGAGGAACAGTGCCCATCGTTGGTTGTCAGTGGAGGGGAGGAACAGTGCCCCATCGTTGGTGTCAGTGGGGGGAGGAACAGTGCCCCATCGTTGGTGTCAGTGGGGGGAGGAACAGTGCCCCATCGTTGGTGTCAGTGGGGGGAGGAACAGTGCCCCATCGTTGGTGTCAGTGGGGGGAGGAACAGTGCCCCATCGTTGGTGTCAGTGGGGGGAGGAACAGTGCCCCATCGTTGGTGTCAGTGGGGGAGGAACAGTGCCCCATCGTTGGTGTCAGTGGGGGGAGGAACAGTGCCCCCATCGTTGGTGTCAGTGGGGGGAGGAACAGTGCCCCATCGTGGTGTCAGTGGGGGGAGGAACAGTGCCCCATCGTTGGTGTCAGTGGGGGGAGGAACAGTGCCCCATCGTTGGTGTCAGTGGGGGGAGGAACAGTGCCCCATCGTTGGTGTCAGTGGGGGGAGGAACAGTGCCCCATCGTTGGTGTCAGTGGGGGGAGGAACAGTGCCCCATCGTTGGTGTCAGTGGGGGGAGGAACAGTGCCCCATCGTTGGTGTCAGTGGGGGGAGGAACAGTGCCCCATCGTTGGTGTCAGTGGGGGGAGGAACAGTGCCCCATCGTTGGTGTCAGTGGGGGGAGGAACAGTGCCCCATCGTTGGTGTCAGTGGGGGGAGGAACAGTGCCCCATCGTTGGTGTCAGTGGGGGGAGGAACAGTGCCCCATCGTTGGTGTCAGTGGGGGGAGGAACAGTGCCCCATCGTTGGTGTCAGTGGGGGGAGGAACAGTGCCCCATCGTTGGTGTCAGTGGGGGGAGGAACAGTGCCCCATCGTTGGTGTCAGTGGGGGAGGAACAGTGCCCCATCGTTGGTGTCAGTGGGGGGAGGAACAGTGCCCCACATCGTTGGTGTCAGTGGGGGGAGGAACAGTGCCCCATCGTTGGTGTCAGTGGGGGGAGGAACAGTGCCCCATCGTTGGTGTCAGTGGGGGGAGGAACAGTGCCCATCGTTGGTGTCAGTGGGGGGAGGAACAGTGCCCCATCGTTGGTGTCATGTCAGTGGGGGGAGGAACAGTGCCCCATCGTTGGTGTCAGTGGGGGGAGGAAACAGTGCCCCATCGTTGGTGTCAGTGGGGGGGAGGAACAGTGCCCCATCGTTGGTGTCAGTGGGGGGAGGAATAGTGCCCCATCGTTGGTGTCAGTGGGGGGAGGAATAGTGCCCCATCGTTGGTGTCAGTGGGGGGAGGAATAGTGCCCCATCGTTGGTGTCAGTGGGGGAGGAATAGTGCCCCATCGTTGGTGTCAGTGGGGGGAGGAATAGTGCCCCATCGTTGTCAGTGGGGGAGGAATAGTGCCCCATCGTTGGTGTCAGTGGGGGGAGGAATAGTGCCCCATCGTTGGTGTCAGTGGGGGGAGGAATAGTATCTTTGGTGTCAGTGGGGGGAGGAATAGTGCCCCCATCGTTGGTGTCAGTGGGGGAGGAATAGTGCCCCATCGTTGGTGTCAGTGGGGGGAGGAATAGTGCCCCATCGTTGGTGTCAGTGGGGGGAGGAATAGTGCCCCATCGTTGGTGTCAGTGGGGGGGGAGGAATAGTGCCCCATCGTTGGTGTCAGTGGGGGGAAGGAAAATAGTGCCCCATCGTTGGTGTCAGTGGGGGGAGGAATAGTGCCCCATCGTTGGTGTCAGTGGGGGGAGGAATAGTGCCCATCGTTGGTGTCAGTGGGGGGAGGAATAGTGCCCCATCGTTGGTGTCAGTGGGGGGAGGAATAGTGCCCCATCGTTGGTGTCAGTGGGGGGAGGAATAGTGCCCCCATCGTTTGTTGGTGTCAGTGGGGGGAGGAATAGTGCCCCATCGTTGGTGTCAGTGGGGGGAGGAATAGTGCCCCATCGTTGGTGTCAGTGGGGTGGAAGAATAGTGCCCCATCGTTGGTATTAGTGACACAAATGATGGGGCACTATTCCTCCCACTGACACCAATGAAACTTACTTTGCTGACCCCCTGCTCCAGCCTGGGCTCGCTCTCTCACTTACCTGTCAGCTGTCTTCCTTCTCTGGCCGCTCTCCCTCTTCACTTGCTCCGGCAGCTCCCTCGGTCTTCTTTGATGTACGCGCGCTGCCGCTCGGCTCCTCCTCTCCAAGCTCCACCTCCTCGCCAGTGATGATTGGCCGCCTGTGTGCCTCTCCTGAGCTACAGTTCCGGTGGGCAATCAGCGGCGAGGAGGCGGAGCTGCTGAGCGATCCCGGAGGTGTGGCCAGGTGACAGCAGCGTATCATCCCGCCACACATCGCCGGAGAGACTGCAGCGGTGTCTCGGTTCCTAAGACCATCGGAAATATGTGTTTTCCGATGGTCTTAGGCGACCCCTGGGAAATGGTCGTTCGACCCCAAATATATTAGTTAGTTTATATATATTTTGGGTATTATATTGTGTTTGTTTGCACTAACATTCATTAAAGTGTATTTTTTCCAAAAAAGATAGCATTTAAAAAAACTACTGTGCAATTACCCATATGACATAAAAAAATGCAGTAGCCACCATTTTATTCTCTAGGGCCTATGCTTAAAAATATGTTTGAGGTTCTAATTTTCTAGCAAAAAAAAAAAAATGCTGATTTATAGATGCAGCAGAGGAATGTCAGAATTGGCCTGGGGCCCAAGTGGTTAATAAGGGCAACCATAAGATTTGGTGATTGCAGAGTTACTAGTCTGAGGGGGTGGGCTAGACCACTGCATCAATAACTAACAAAAGGTATTGTATTTACAGAATATGTACCCCTACAACAGGACCTCCAGCTTACCTCATACATGATGGTATTAAGATTCTGCTGTCCAACACTGTTCTTATTTTTTCTTGCCTCTCTTTGCTGTGCTTTCAAGTCTGTAAGTAGATATAATACCTACAGAGCAGAAGAAAAAAAAAAAAACCATTTAATGTACCATAGGTGTTCGAAAACAAGTTATCTAAACTACTAGTTCAAAATCAAAATTTTCAATACATAGTACATACTATCATGGTTAATCCTAGGTGGAGAGATCACCTGAACTACAAGGCAAGCAGTCAAAGGAGTCATGATGGCTGCACGCACTCTTCAAGCAAACATAAAAGGCAACAGAATAAAATCTTCCATTGAGTTGTTACCTATATGGTTCTAATAAGGATCAGCAATGCCTTTGTTTTCATTACACTGTGTTTTTCACAGACATTCTCTCATCCATTCCACCAGTTTGTTTTTTTTGTAAAATTGTGTTGTATAAGAGAAAAACAGCAAAACTCCAAAGTCAACAAATACAAATTGAGTGTCTTTAATTAACGAGTTCATTGGCAATCTATTGCAGCACTTTGCTTACATTTTACTTCTATTGCCTATTGACAAAAAGACTCAAATTTGTAAATGCATTCAAGGTAATGAAAACAACTAAACTAAATCAATCCAAAATTCATAGTTGCTGAAATACTCAAAAGCCTTAATAAAGGAAACTGCATTGTATCGGTGAAAAGCCTCAATCTGGCTGGTACCCCACAGAGAAGCAACACTGGGTATATTTTATGTGGATCATAGCATCTGGTATAATAGCAAAGTAAGCAGAAAACAAGTCTGGCTCCTCTCTGGTCTTGGTTCTTTGAATAAGAGGTCTACAAAAGGCACATTACATGCCTTTGTTCTATGTCAGACAGAGGATTTCTTTGTAAAAGTCTGCAGGGAACTTTATACCACAGCCCAGAGTTCAGACAATAATGCAGGCCATAGACGGCTCGAAAACCGTGCATTTTTTCAAATGATAAACGAAAAATCAGTCGTTCGTTAAACCGACGTAACCACCAACGATTACAAAAATCGGCCGACCAAGTCATAAAGTTCACTTAATATAACAGCCAAAACTTCTGTTCCTTCCAGGTCACGGCTCATGCACATATTTTTTTCCTGTAAAAACGATCGTACGATTTGGCCATCATTGACGCGAAAATCGGTCATTTTCCACGAATTTTCCAACATGACCGATAATCCAAAAGTGCAAAAAAAAAAACTGGCCGACCAATTAACCCACTAACAGTGCGAAAATCAGCCGATTATTCTTTCGGATGAAAAATCGGACGATTTTTGAAACAGTCTATGGCCGGCATAAGAAGCAGGAAAACTTAGAGGAAGAAGTATCCAGAGGAGTGGGACCTTATATTTGCGAGACCACACTACACGAGGGTATGGATGCAAGATTTGGGGGGGGGGGGTAGGGTTGGTGCAGAGCCATGATGGGGAGGTTTGTGGCACTGGCTGTAATTCATTTAGAACACATGATGCCAGCACTCATCCCATTCCACCTAGTATGTCCTTCTTTAATAATACATCTGAGGGAGATTTACTAAAACTGGTGCACTCAGAATCTAGTGCAGCTGTGAATGGTAGCCAATCAGCTTCTAACTTCAGCTTGTTCAGTTAAGCTGTGGCAATAAAACCTGGAAACTGATTGGTTTCTATTCAGAGCTGCACCAGATTTTGCACTCTCCAGTTTTAGTAAATAACCCAAATGGCGTCAATACACAGTTCCCCCCACTAGAGACAAGCTATTTAGGAAGCAGAAAGGCTCTGTAAACTGCAGAAAACAATACACAGTAATTGTAACTCTAAAGGTTCTTATGTAATAATATAAAGAGGTCACAGACTCTGTGATACTATAATTACTATGTAATGTACAAACCTTAAAAGTAAAGAAAATCATTTCCCCTCTCTGAATGAGCCAATCCCTCCTTAGTTTATGCCTCTCATTCTCGCCCTTACAGACACTGCGGCTCACAGTGGGAGGGTTTCATCAGCAGAGGCAGTGCTGTCAATTCACAACATAGTAGGGAGGACTAGGTGTGGCAAGCATTTGTTTGACATCAGCTTCTTCTCATCTCCAGTGCAGTGCAAGCAGGTACAGCCTACATGAGGGTGACAATGCTGCTTTGAATTCAGGAGCAGTGCAGCAGACTTGTCACATCATCACAGGAAGCATGATGAGATGCATTTAACTGGTAGGATCAACAGGTATTTGTGAGAGTTTGCATAGAGCTAAGGTAAAACTAGTACTGATGTTCTTACAATCTATTGCTGTAACCTTTTTTTCATAGTTCTACCTTAAAGAACTGCACCTTTGTTTTAAACTTTAAATTTGCAATGTTCTTACTGTCAAGATCGCGGCGCCAGACCCCAGCCCTTCTCACTAAATTCGTGACCAAAGGACTAGCCAGTCTAAAACCGCGATGTCATGTGCGTAACAATGCCACACCCAGCTGCACCCTGCACAACGATTTTCCAGCTAATTGGACCAAAATCGATGTACCGGCAGCCTGAGCGATTGTTACTACTGGGTCAGGTTAATTATGCAATTAACCCTTCACACTGCCACCACCTCCTTTTTGTACAGAGAAAGAGGAAACTCGGCAATATCTGCAGTAACACTATAATGGTTGAGGTAATCGTCTGTATAACACGGTTATACAGAGGGTTAAACAAACACAGAGGCAGGAATTCGTAAATTGCAATACAGAGCTATAGAAACAGTTCAACACTTTCAGAAGGAAAGATTTATTACTAAAAGGTCAAACGGGTGCAATAAAAATATTTACAGTAAAAATATGTAACTAAGATATAAAGATATATATATATATATATATAAAAAAAAAAAAAAAAACATACACAATAGCACAGCAAAGAGATATCAGAGAGAGGTGAAAGGGTTAAGGTACTTGCCAAAGTCCTGGGTTAGCAGATCCAAGTTTCAGAGCGAAAGGGCACGGGTCTCCCCAGGTGTTACTGATGTTAAAAATGGGAGACGTCTTCAACTTTTTCTCTTAGGCCTGACAGCCCAATTTGTAGTTCCCCAGCAGGGGGTGTCTCTGAAGTCAATGGGCCAATACCCCGTTTAGGGCGTGGAGGTCTGTGTGTGGACCTAAACTAGAGCCAAAATCTCTCATATTTTGGCTCATAACTTTTCCTATGCATAAGTGACATTCCATCCGCAGGTAGATTATTATGCAGACACGTCTGAGGATTCATTAGACATGAATTATGAAATTATACACTGAACGGTTCACGACATCTATTTTTCGGCTTTCCTATGTATTCGAGACAAGGCGAGTGACCTATCATATTGTTCGTCTTCTCTTAGCCAATCTGACGATATGTCCGGTTTTTATGTAAGTCTCTCATATTCCAAGATATGAGACATAGTGTTAGCTGGTCCCGCCTTCCTTGGAATGTCTTGAGCTCCAGGGATAGCTTGCCTTATCTTATACGAGGTGTTACATTTTACAGGTTCTTCGGACAGCTAGGCCCCAGCTCCCTTGGGGACTTTATAGCTCCTAGCCCCTTGCTGGGCCCTGGCCTCCTGTGACACTCCTAACACACATACACATACACACTGGCCAAATGTCGCTGTGACTCTCAGAAAGGGAGGGGGAGAATGAGGGGAAAATATGTTTGTCAGGATGGTTAACCCCTTAGCCAAGATGGAGGATGAAGCCAAAAAATGGTTGAACCGAGTCCATCTCTGTGTGTACCCGGTTACACTTACTACCTTTCCTCCAAAATAGCAGCCACATACAGGACGCAATCACAAAGTGGCCATCCAGGCTCCTTCAGAAGAAAAAGTGCAATGAAGTAGTTTGCCTTTCACTACAAGCTCCAGCATTCAGCAGCTAACTAAAGCATGTCCCCATTGTCCTGCTGTTGACTGCACCTATCTGCTCACTGATGGGCTACTACAGTCATTGACAATGGTGCCAAATTCAGGTTCGATGACTAGAAATCCAGTTCTGCAGTCTGTGCCTATGCTGATCAGTTGCCTCTACAAAATTAATCCTGTTGCCTGAGAGATCCCCGCTGCTGGACAGCCAATAGGAAGTGTCTATGTTACCCAAGCAGCAACCTGAACATCTACACCTCTACAACAGAGGACTGGAGATTTGGGACCTGGTGTGTCACATGAACCCAAGAGGGGGAGGGTTATATACTCAAGGTCCAGCTTTAAGAATAGAGTGGTGTCCGCTGTCCGCCTCCACATTCCAAGGACAGGGAAAGAGCAGTACCAAACTGATGAAGACATCCCACTGGTTAAAGTATAACTAAAGGCAGAGAAGAGATGATTAGAACACCTGTCAGGTTTTTATTGCTACCTCTGCCCTTGTTAGGGAAAGTCACCATCCTTTTTTTTGTCCTGTTTACTGTTATCATTAAAAGTGAACACAAAAAAATCTGAAATTTTTAGTTATACCCGTAACATTAATAAAGGGGAAATCTTCCATTGGGGATACTAATTTTGATGACCCTGGTGACACCCCAGGATTCCCTCCCTTTGGAGGGATTTCCTTTCACCTCCTGTTTTGGCTATGGAGTAGGAAGTGAAAGGAAATCTCTGCAATCAAGCAAAGATGGCAAAAACAGGAAATCTCCCCAATGGGACAAAGATGGCAAAAAAACAGGGGTTATAACCCTCCCTTAATCTATCTAAAATGAAAAAAGTATTGCCTATAGTTAAATGTTAACTGCTTCCCCTTCACCCTATAGCAGACGTACTGCTACAGGTAGCAGGGCTGTGCAAAATCACGTATATATACATGATTTTGTATTTCCTGGTAGGGAGTGCGCACGTGAAGCCGTACCTGCCCAACGCAGTCCCGCTATAAGTCGCGGATCGCTGCCATTACTAGTATAAAAGAAAAAAAATTCCAGTTTTTTATACCGCCATTTGTAGACGCTATAACTTTCACGTAAACCAATTTACATGTATTGGGATTTTTTTTTAGTAAAGTCACATAGCAGAGTACATTTTGGCCTAAATTTATGATAAAATTTAATTTTAAATTTTTTTACTAGATATGTTTAATAGCAAAAAGTCAACAATATTGGGGTTTTTTTTCAAAATTGTCAGTCTTTTTTTTGTTTATAGCGCAATAAACAAATCCGCAGGAGGCAATCAAACACCACCAAAAGAAAGCTCCATTTGTGGGAAAAAAGGGCATAAATTTAATTTGGGTGCAGCGTTGTATGACCACGCAACTTTCAGTTAAAATAATGCAGCGCCGTATTGCCAAAAAAGGCCTGGTCAGGAAGGAGGGTAAATCCTCTGGAGGGCAAGTGGTTAATGTTTTTTCTCTGATTGACTCTTAGCCCTGCTATTCCTTGTCCAGTCACAGCTCTACTGCACAAGGGATTACAAGTGGATACCAGGTCAAATTAAGAAACCGACACTTGCTGCGTTAATAAATAAAAGTATTGATGTATGTAATGATCTATAAAGTCAGTAACTGCCTTTTTGAAACTTGGAGGTTTCCATTCCTGATGTCTCCTTCCAGATATTATAGTTGCCTTTCTGTCATACTGACATTTGTGCCTTGAATGTAACTGTTTTGGGAAACAGTTAAATAGTTGGGTTCTGCTAGCGAAACTCAAAACATTTAAAGTGAAACTAAACCCATCGATTTAACAGTTTCAAAAAAAAACAGTTACATTCCTGTCATGCCAGGATTGCTAACTGTGACATTTGTGATCTCAACCAAACTGTCAAGCCATGGAATCTCTGGTGTCATAACTGATCACTTGTGCAGCACCATGGCAGTTGCAGGTCAAACAGAGGATACGATGGCAGCTCCCTTGGCTGAAGAAGATTGGAGGGTTTAGACCCTCCAAGCAGGAGACTTGTATAAACAACAGTCTCAACCTTGTCAGTAGGTTTTACTGGTGCTGCATCCCTTATTATAAAAGACACTGAAAAATACAGAACCCTAGCAAAAGAAACTACTTTTAAGGTACCATAACAACAGTCATTAACATTTTGTAAAAAAATAGCTTTAGTACACAATATTATAAAAATATGATTTTAGTACATAAACGGAGTTATTTACATCTAAGTTTAATCACTGTCATATTGTAAATGATAATTGTCATAGGTGCTTTTGCTCTCATCCCAACTGTCAAGCCATCAAATGACTGGTGTCATAACTGATCACATGTGCAGCACCATGTCAACTGCAGGTCAAACAAAGGCCAAGATGGCAGCTTCCTTGGCTGAAAAGAATAGGAGGGTTTGGTTCCGCTTTAAGGCATGCCTTGCGGATAACGGTTACAGCTGCTGGTATGCTTTTTGTTTGCAATCAACTCAATTTTCAAGCCATCAAAAGGTTAGCATGATAGCTGATTGCATGTTCATGGATAGGAAGGTATAGTTCTGCTTTAACCACTTGTGGACCGCAGATAGCCGAATGATGGCTTTACCAGTTCTGGATGGCATCATATGCAGTCCTCCCAGAACATGCACTCCCGCATGCACCCGGCGATCTCCGTAGTCACTGTGTCCATAGGACACAGCTGATCACGTGATGTTGTAAAAAGCCAATCACAGCATCCTTTTACCATGTGATCAGCCATGTCCAATGACACAGCAGATCACCGGTAAATGCAGTTGCCAGTTATCAGCTGCACTTTCCTCACGCTGTGACAGCGTGAGGAAAGTACTGCCGATAACCGGCAGTACTGATGATCAGTGCCCAGCAGTGCCGCCCACAAGTGCACATCAGTGCCACCCACCTGTGCCCATCAGTGCTGCCAATCAGTGCCACACATCAGTGCCCATCATTGTTGCATAGCAGTGCCAGTTCATCAGTGCTGCCTATCAGTGCAGCCTCATCAACGCACATCAGTGAAGGAGAAAAATTACCTGTTTGCAAAATTTTATAATAGAAACAAAGAAAAACTCTTTTTTTTTCAAAATTTTTGCTTTTTTGTTTATAGCGTAAAAAAAAAAACACCCAGCGGCAAGTACATACCACCAAAAGAAGCTCTATTTGTGTGAAAAAAATGATAAAAATTTCATGTGCAGTGTTGCATGACCACGCAATTGTCAAAGTGCAACAGCGCTGAAAGCTAAAAATTGGCCTGGGCACGAAGGGGGTATAAGTGCTTGGTAGACAACTGGTTAATGTGTATGGCGAGCTTTGGCTTCCGCACCCCTGAACCCATCCCTGATAAATTGCTGGGGAATGTGATGGCTTGTTAAAGGAACAATCCCAATCTGTGTAAGCCAGGGGGTCTCCAATCTTTCCAAAGGGCCAGGTTACTGTCCTGCAGACTATAGTGGGGCCGGACTTTGCCCAGTGGAAGTAGATACCGCCTCTGTGTCAGTGCATGTAACCAATGTCCTGAGATTGGTATTAGTGGGAGGAAGAGTGCCCCATCGTTGGTGTCAGTGGGAGGAATGATGCCCTATCACTATTTCAGTGAGAGCAGTAGTGCCCCATCGCTGGTGTCCGTGGGAGGAAGAGGGCCCCATCGCTGGTGTGGGAGGAAGAGGGCCCCATCGCTGGTGGTGGGGAGGAAGAGGGCCCCATCGCTGGCTGTGTCCGTGGGAGGAGGGAGGAAGAGGGCCCCATCGCTGGTGTCCGTGGGAGGAAGAGGGCCCCATCGCTGGTGTCAATGGGAGGAAGAGTGCCCCATCGCTGGTGTCCGTGGAGGAAGAGGGCCCCATCGAGTGCCCCATCGCTGGTGTCCGTGGGAGGAAGAGGGCCCCATCGCTGGTGTCCGTGGGAGGAAGAGGGCCCCATCGCTGGTGTCCGTGGGAGGAAGAGGGCCCCATCGCTGGTGTCAGTGGGAGGAAGAGGGCCCCATCGCTGGTGTCCCCCCATCGCTGGTGTCAGTGGGAGGAAGAGAGGCCCCACCGCTGGTGTCAGTGGGAGAAAGAGGGCCCCACCGCTGGTGTCAGTGGAGAGAAAGAGTGCCCCACCGCTGGTGTCAGTGGGAGAAAGAGTGCCCCACCGCTGGTGTCAGTGGGAGAAAGAGTGCCCCACCGCTGGTGTCAGTGGGAGAAAGAGTGCCCCTTGACCGCTGGTGTCAGTGGGAGAAAGAGTGCCCCACCGCTGGTGTCAGTGGGAGAAAGAGTGCCCCACCGCTGGTGTCAGTGGGAGAAAGAGTGCCCCACCGCTGGTGTCAGTGGGAGAAAGAGTGCCCCACCGCTGGTGTCAGTGGGAGAAAGAGTGCCCCACTGGTGTCAGTGGGAGAAAGAGTGCCCCACCGAAAAAGAGTGCCCCACCGCTGGTGTCCTCCCCACCGCTGGTGTCAAGAAAGAGTGCCCCACCGCTGGTGTCAGTGGGAGAAAGAGTGCCCCACCGCTGGTGTCAGTGGGAGAAAGAGTGCCCCACCGCTGGTAGTGGGAGGAAGAGTGCCCCATCGTTGATGTCAGTGGGAGGAAGAGTGCCCCATCGCTGGTGTCAGTGGGAGAAAGACTGCCCCGTCAGACCGAATAAAGGCAGGCAAAGGGCCACTGTTTGGAGAGCACTGATCTAACCCACCTTATGGACAATAACCTTCTTGACCCATTACAATCCGGCTTCCGTCCCCTACACTCCACCGAAACTGCCCTCCTCAAAATCACTAACGACCTACTAAACGCCAAAGCCAAGGGCGACTACTCTGTACTCCTTCTCCTGGACCTCTCTGCGGCCTTTGACACAGTCGACCACCCCCTCCTCCTTAATAAACTACTCTCCCTTGGCATCAGAGATACCGCTCTCTCCTGGTTCTCATCTTACCTATCCCGACGCTCCTTCAGCGTCACCTACAATGGCGCCACCTCCCCCTCCCTCCCCCTCTCTGTTGGGGTCCCTCAAGGCTCTGTCCTTGGACCCCTTCTCTTCTCCATCTACACCTCCTCCCTGGGCACACTCATACACTCCCATGGCTTTAATTATCACCTCTATGCTGACGACACCCAAATTTACCTCTCCACCCCTCTCCTCACCCCCACTATCTCCGCCCGCATCACTCACCTCCTAAACGACATCTCAGACTGGATGTCGCTCCATTTCCTCAAGCTTAACCTCTCCAAAACCGAACTCCTCGTCTTTCCCCCTGCCCACACCCCCCCCCCCCCCCCCCCCCCCCCATCCTATCCATCACCACCACCAACACCACTATCATTCCCGCCCCGCAAGCCAAAGTTCTTGGCGTCATTCTTGACTCGAACCTCTCCTTCCTGCCTCATGTCAAATCACTTACATACACCTGCAGGCTCCATCTCCGCAATATTGCTAAGATACGCTCCTTCCTCACCCCAGACACCACCAAACTTCTTGTACACTCCCTCTCATCATCTCACGCCTTGACTATTGCAACTCTCTTCTCACTGGCCTACCCAAGTGCAGGCTCTCCCCGCTCCAAACCATCCTGAACTCAGCGGCCAGACTCATCCACCTCACCACCCGCTCCACCTCTGCCACCCCCCTCTGCCTCTCCCTCCACTGGCTCCCGATTGCCCAACGCATCAAATTTAAACTTCTAATCCTGACCTACAAAGCCGTTCATAACACTGCCCCTGACTACCTCACCAACCTGATCCCTAAGTACCACCCTACCCGTAGTACCCTTCGCTCCTCACAGGACCTCCTTCTATCCTGCTCCCTGGTCTCCTCCTCCCATGCAAGACTGCAGGACTTCTCCAGGTCCTCCCCTATCCTCTGGAACTCACTGCCCCAATCCATCCGACTATCGCCTTCCCTCCCCACATTCAGGCGCTCCCTCAAAACCCATCTCTTCAGGGAAGCCTACCCCACCCTCACCTAACGGCCATTCTCCCTCATTCCTCCAACCACTTCATCCCCCTCAGCCACTTCATTCCCCTCAGCCACATCCTATTGTTCCACTACCCCCTCCCTCCTAGATTGTAAGCTTGAAAGAGTAGGGCCCTCTTACCCCTCGTACGCTGTCTGTTTTTGTTGTACTGTGCCATGTATTGTCCCCCTATTGTACAGCGCTGAGCAAACCCTTTGGCGCTATATAAACTCGATATAATAATAATAATAATAATAATAACACAAAGCAGGTTCTTTTCTGTGCCATACATACCTCATAATTGCTCAGTAATGCTGCATTTGCATCTTTTCTGGAATAAATAAGAAATAAAACCATAAATGACACCATAATGTAGACACAATAGGACATCTACCAATCTCAGCAGTTCATCTCTTAAGCCGACAATAATCGTCCAATACTGCCTGTGATACAACCTCATACCCCACATACAGTACGTCAGCGAATAGAAGACAAGCCTTGGAATGGATATACAGCTAACTTACACTTCCATGCTTTCCTCCTGTACGTGCTCCTACAGCATTCTCCTTCCCCCGGAAACCAGCTGTGTGTACAAGGTTCCGCCAACCTATGAGAGCAGGGATTTACCTCCCTCACACAGAGCCCACACACTGCCCCAGCACATTTGTCACAATGGGCAATACCGACCAATAAGAAGTACATTCGCTCAGACCATTTGTACCCGGCATCTGTTATATTTGTAGATATTACCATTGAATCCTTGTTATATTATACCATTTCTAACACGCTGAAACCATCACACTGTCTCTAGTCCTTTACTGCTAATTATACATTGACATCGTTATAAAACTTGGCAGCGACTTCGGCCAGGTTCGAATCCAAGCCCACAATCATTGCGGGCGGGAACTCTCCTGATGTGCCATAAAGCCGCTGACTGCTTAGTCAGCTCCGTGCAATTCTATTGTAGAATGATGTGATGTGACGTCAGTAAGACTGTCCAATCCCCGCCTGCTGAACTCAATGAAACGTGTTAGAAGAAAGCAAAGTGACAGCTTTTCTGGGACTGGTCACACCAAGGGGGGGGGGGCGGAGCTGCCTGTGTCAGGTTCTCTGATATTGGTCACGCCGAGTGAAGGGGGTGGGGTATTTAGGATATGCCAGTGTAGAGGTGTGAGCTGCCTGGGTCAGGTTCTCTGGGATTGGTTACGCCAGATGAAGGGGGCGGGGTATTTAGGATATGCCAGTGTAGAGGTGTGAGCTGCCTGGGTCAGTTTCTCTGGGATTGGTCACGCCGAGTGAGAGGGGCGGGGTATTTAGGATATGCCAATGTAGAGGTGTGAGCTGCCTGGGTCAGGTTCTCTAGGATTGGTCAGGCCAAGTGAAGGGGCGGGGAATGTCCGACCTGTCAGTGTAAAGGTGTGAGCAGCTTGTGGCAGGTTCTCTGGGCTGGACTGTAAGAGGATCTGTAGTGGGACTGCACACATCAGCTGAGTCGGTATGTCTCTTCCTGCTCCCTATTCATGTACCTGTGGAACTGTCACCTCTGTATACAACAAATGTTAGCAATCCATGTTTCCATAACAGGAGTAAACACATGCTTTTTGACACATAGTGCATGCCTTTAAATACCAGCAGTGTCTGTCTGATCACATCTCATTACAGATGGCAGAATGGCTTACAATTGTGTCTGGTAGTAATAGTCACATTTACTGGACTTTTGGAACATTGAAGACTGCTTGCTTCTTGTTCATTTCACAGCAGATGTGTTGGAGCTACACTGGCAGCTATTTCCAGGTAGCCCCAATGCATAGACAATGCTAAATGACTTGTTTGCAATGGTGTCAGCTCCCACCACAGTGTTGCAGGGTGTCAGTGTTGCATGCAGTTCTTTTTTTAACACAGCTGGGTTGCAACGTGATTCCCCTGCATTGCAATGCTGCTGCAGTAAATAAAAGTGTATTAAATGCCGCTTGTTACATTCCAAGGTCTGTGGAAGAAAAAGAAAACAGTGAGATGCCTCAATATCTGCACATCAGCACTGTGTAACCCAGAGTACAGCAGCAGCTATGCATTCAGCACGGCTTGGTGGTGTGAATGAGCCCCTAAAGCTGTTTAGTCATTTTGGGAATATTAGTTACATGTATTGGTGCGTATTCCATGTCCTGCAGGCTGTTGCCTTATGTATAAATCCTGCTGAGATGCTGCCCAGATGTGTGATCCTACATTGTTGTAGGGGTTAACAGTGGCAGCTACGAGTGTGAAGGACTTGTGCAGCTCGTCTGTCCCTTTTGCCATTCACAGACCTCATACTAATATTGTCCCACCGTGTAATGCATTCTGTCAGTGAGCAGGAGAGATCCTGTCATTCATCTGCTCCTCATCCATTCACAGATTGATTGCTTTTACAAACAATACTAGTATCGATTCTGTGAATGGTAGAGGTGCAGGGAGGGTCAGTGGCACAGGTCCTTCACACTCCTAGCTGTTGTTGTTAACTGCTGCAGTACTGGAAGATTGCCACGTTGGGCAGTATCTAGGGGCAAAAAGGAAGTATTTTTACCACCTGCCTGGAGTTTGCATGTTATCCCTGTGCCTGCATGGGTTTCCTCTGGGTACTCCAGTTTCCTCCCACACTCCAAAGACATGCTGGTCTGTGAATTGGATCCTGTCTAAATTGGCCCTAGTATGTGTATGTATGAATGTGAGTTAGGGATCGTAGACTGTACACCCCTTGAGGGTTGGGGACTAATGTGAATGTACAATATATATGTAAAGTGCTGCATTAATTGACGGCTCTACATAAGTACCTGAAATAAATAAATACATACATGAAACAGCAGCTTACAGAACATGGGATACACTCTATTACATGTAACCAATGTATCCCCCCCCCCCCCAAAAACAAACCCTAGGCTCACACTAAATGTGACTTTCAAATCTCACTACTTCACTTGAAGTAGCGCAATTTTAAAGCTGCAGATCAGTGCAATTTGTACCTCCGATCTCACCGCGGCTTGCAACTTCATTTAGCAGAAGTCAATGCAAGCTGCAATGGAATCAGAAAAAATAGTGCAGGAACTATTATTGAAATTGTGCGTTACTTCAGATCACACTGACTAAGACAGTGCCATAGAAATGCGACTTCAGGTGAAATCTGTAAATCGTGTGTCGCACCAGTATGAACCAGGACTAAATGTCAGCTTTAAAGACTAAGTTACCATTTATAAAAAATAATAAATATACATGATTTTGAAGGTAAAAAAAAATATGCATTTATTTTTTTTTTTTTTTTTTACAATGGAGCATGCAAAACATTGCACCTGTCATCAGTAGATCATGGATGCAGTGTCAACTCCTGCAGACATGCGGTACAGCTGTCTGCCTTTTCATTCTATACAGGTAGACAGTTACAGAAGAGCAGGAAGAATCAATAAACAATGAGGGTGTTCATCAGCTCCCTCACAATTCATTTAGAACTACAAGCCGTCTGCCTTGGTGGGACTTGTATTTCATTCATTCATCCGCAAAACTCTATGAATGAGTGATACGGCTGTGTGGGCGGATCCCTGCACAGTTGCGCTTTTTTTAAATTGTGATAATGGGTGCAGAGAGAGGATCCCCTACCTGCTGTCACAGTGGGGGAGATCAGGAGGTTTCAGGGCTGCTGCATTGGAAATATGTTACATGTTACACCCTGAATATGAGTGTAACCTGTTACTAAAAGTGAAGGTATCCTTTAACAATGCTCAGAAGCATACCCCTGCATTTATAGACCCTTTTAGGGCCCATTTACAGAGGGCAGCTGCTGGCAAGAATCAGCAATCCTTACCAGTGGAGAAACTATCCCCATTCACAAAGTGAACAGCATCAGCATGACCAGATCTGTACCCTGTACAAATCAATAACTAATGCCACCGCTGTTCATATGTAACCACTCATCAAAGTAGTTGCAACACAGGCTATCCCCGCTTCAGTCTATCCTGAATTTTGCGGCCAGACTCATCCACCTTACCAACTGCTCCGTATCCGCCACCCCCCTCTGCTAATCCCTCCACTGGCTTCTGATTGCCAATGCATAAAATTCAAAATATTAACATTGACGTACTAAGCTGTTCATAACACTGCCCCAAACTACATCACCGGCCTGATATCCATCTACCACCCAAAACGCACTCTCCGCTCCTCACAAGACCTCCTACTCTCCAGTTCCCTGGTCTCCTCCTCCTATGCCCATCTCCAGGACTTCTTCAGGGCTTCCCCCATCTTCTGGAACTCACTACCCCAATCCATCAGACTGTCACCTACCCTCCTCACCTTTAGGCGCACCCTGAAAACCCATCTCTTCAGGGAAGCCTACCCCACCCTCACCTAATTGCCGATCTCCTCCGCTCTCCCCACCACTCTATCCCCCACAGCTATTTCCTCCTGTACCACTATCCCCTCCCTCCTAGATTGTAAGCTCCAAGGAGTAGGGCCCTCGAACCCCTCATGTATTGTATTGTTACTGTACTGTCTCGTGTACTGTCTCCCATTATAATGTACAGCGCTGAGCAAACCGTTGGCGCTATATAAATACTGTATAATAATAATAAATGTCATTAGGGACTCCGACTGGCCCTGGACACAGATACTTTGCATCCAGAGAAATGTTCCTGACCACATACAAACTGGTCGCAGCATTTAGCCACATCTGCACATAGCAGCCTATCTGCCCTCATTCACCAATCAGGAGGCTTTAAACATTACAGAACAAGCCCAGATAAATGTAACTATTACCAGCTAAATCATGATGTGGATAAATGAGAACCTTCACAGATGTGTCACAATTTTTGTATTTTATCATCACAAATATATGAAATTGTTTCCCTTTTTATAGTACACTTATTATTTGACTGGTGGATATGTCTGCGTCATGCCATTAATGGATGGCAAATAGATGCTGGCTAAACACAAGGGAATACAAGGGGCAAAATCCCTCCTTTTGAACAAAACAACTTAAAAAAATATAAAAAGTTACATTTCTGACCTTAACCCAGTTCATTTTTTTTTTTTGTCCTGCAGCGTCAGCAGATGGTACATTCATCTTTACAGTGTATACACATGTATAGATATTTGATTTTCAGAAAGAAGATCTCATGTTTTTCCATATTTATTTTAGATTTGCTCCTGTAAAAGTGAAGATATCCCTGAACTTAAGCTATGGCATCTGAGGTAATCTTTCGATTTTGGATATGAAAAGGTTTCTTTCATTAGTAAATTTTAGGTTTATTTTTGTTAGCAATGTTATAAATTTCTTTCTTAACAGAAACATTAAAACAGTGACAGAGCTG